ATATACTAAACTTGCAGGTTCATTATAGCCACAGCCAATAACTTTTCCTACTAACAGCTATAAAAGGTTTGCCTGACTACGCATTAAAGCTTAAACCCAATTCCTGAGCTTGAAAGGAAATAACTAATAAAAAAACCCGCCGTCAATATACAAAGACCTAGATTCTTTGTAGTTCAGAAACCTACCTAACCCAATGATCTAATGTGCTAGTTTGTAAGATGATTTTTATGCTACGAAACCAGAAAAGGCTTAAGAGATGAGAACATAAGTTATGAACATCCGGAAAGCAAACCAGAAACCTCCAAAATTAATAATTTGTCTACACTTACTCCAAGCATTTTGAAGCCGAATCAGACTCTTCTGAGGAAAGTCTCTCAAGATGACCCTTCAACGCCCGCATTAAGGCCACATGAACAGCATCCAACAAAGAATTTGGTCCCGGGAAATTCAGCGCTCCCACAAAATCATTGAGTTCAAATGGGCAGATATACAGCTGAAAGCTAAATGACCTTAAGAACCCATATACAGATAAGAGATGTGCCACAGCCTCCTCTGGGATACCAATTGTCCCTGAAGAAGGAGGCAAATCCACCGCTGCAACAAGAGTAGCCTCACTGTCAAAATCCGAACCTCTCTTAACTTCACTCTCAGACAAATCTGAGTCACTATACGAATCACCATCTTCAACATCTGCCTCAGATGCCTGAACTCCATTAACTTGATTTGGCAACTCAACCACTTTGCTCTCCTGAGAACTTCGTTTCTTTTTCTCCTCCCTCTTCAGTATAACTTTATCTAACTTATTCCTTCTAACGCGTAGCTCATTATCCAAGTAACTATCCTCAATAATTAAACGACGAAGATCACCACTCTCCATTTCCTCACAATCACCATCCTCATACTCCACTTTATACAACCCAGTATCATAAGACACTACCTTGCCTAGAAAAGCTCCATTTTCATCAAAATCTTTCAGCACATGACGACCAAGTAACGATACAGGCACCGCCGGCTCTACCTCCAAAACTTGCTGTTTCTTCCCTTTCGATTTCCGATTATCATCCTCTAATCTCTGGCGTTTCCTAGGTCTTCCCCTAGGTCTAGGAACCTTCGTTTCCATCGAAACAAACCCTAAGCTAGATCCGAATCAATTCCCTAAAATTGGAATCAATCCAAAACACCCAGTACGGTTCCCAAAAACCTCACCCTATCACCATAAAATTCGAATCACAAAACACCAAAATCGTAACCAGATCTACGAGAGTACTACAACCCGGAGATGAATCATTCAGGAAGAAGCAAAGAAACTCAAATCCTTTTGTTTTGCTCTACCGAGTGATTAAGATTGATACAGAGAGAAGGAGGATTATAAAAGATGCGAAGAGATTGATGAACACTTGCTAGAATTGAAACGCCGCCATTGATGATGCAGTTCGAGAACGAGAACTCTGAGAGAGAAGAAGAAGAAGAGCCCTAATCGAGTCGAGAAAGATAAACGAACCTCGACGCACACACAATGGCAGAGATTATTTGTGATTATTACGGAGCGAGTTCGACTCGGTTTTCGGGTTATTGGGCCGTGACCCGTTTTAAATTTAAATTATTTTTGAAAAATGGAATTTGACTTTTTTTTTTTCTTCTCGAAACGTATATGCACGAAAGGAGGAATGTTCTGGTACAGCACGTGTTCACCTGCGTTCTACAATGTACGGATGACGTGTCAAAATCTATGGGCTGGAGATGCTGTAATCGTACGTGTCAGAATAAACTACCAGATTAGTGAAAAGTTAACAAAGCAAATTACAAAAATATTGAAAGTAAAATCGAAAAAACAAAACCAGAATAACCAATAATAAAGATAAATATGCACAAAACTTTTTTTTGATGATATTCATCAAGAAATTATCAATTTCAAAATTGATTAGTGAAAGAAAATTAGTTTAATTTAGCAAATAATAAATATATGTTTTAACCAAGAATTCAATCAAAATGTTGACAGTTTTTCATGTCATCTTGTACATTTTTTTAGTTTATATATGAAACTGTTTAAATGACCAATAATACGACTATTAATCTTTAAAAATCTACATAAGCGCTACATTTTCAAGATTTATATTTATAGAACTGAAAATGATCAAATAAAATATTTATAAATTTCTAGGTTTTCTTACAAGATAAACCAAAAGTGAGATTTGTAACTCCCATATAAATATAATAGAATTTTGATAATACACAAAAGACTTTCTTTTTCTTGATAACTAGATACATTATTAACACTTTCTATAAATCAAGTAAATAAAATAAATTTGAAATTTGTATATCAGAGTCTTCTATTAGACTCATATTGGCCATGTTAAAAGCCTTTGAATGCATCATTTTTACTAAGAATGTAAAATTCATTTTAAAAAAAAAATTGTTTAGGGTTTACAAAATTGTATAGCCTACGAAATTGGTCTATGGCAAAAAAAAAAAAACTGAAAAATAGAAACGAAAGACAAACTCTAAAGTTCAGTTTATCAATAGAAGTCATGAAGGTTATTGTATCAAATGAAGTGATAAATGGTTATAATTAAAATTTCTTAAAATATGAATCTGTAAAGAAGAAAACAAAAAAAATGCTTAACTATCAAAATAACTTACAATCCTCGATATAGTGAATAATGTTTTTTTCCCCCTGCAAAACCTTAGGTTCCCATTGTAATAATTTGTTGGATCAAACATACTCAACATCCATGAACCAACTAAAAAAATATCACCTAAATTTTGATGCATTCATATAACAAAAGACAAAAAAAATTATATGGTTAAAAATACAACGAAGAAAACACAACTTTCAACATTAGAAGATTTATCACAAAAAGTAATATAAATAAAATAATTGATAAAACAAAAAATAGTAATTTATATTTAAAGTGTTACATAATATATCATAATCACAATAAAAATAACAGAATGTGCCATCAATAATCATAAATAAGCTAAAATGATAAGAGTCGACATGGAGAAGAATATGAAAATGGAGACAACAACTTATGTTACTAAAAATTACATAGGAAACAAATTAAAACACTTTTATAAACTACAATTTGGAAAATAATATACGCTTGAATAAAATAAAACGACCGTTAGAAAACAAAAAGAGACGAGAATTCAAAGTTGGGAAAATTAAAAAAAGCATTACTCGTTTTAGTAATATACTATAACACACGATAATGTGTGGGAGAGCTAACTCGCTATTCGGGTCGGGTTTATATTCTCTATCGGCCGTTTTCAATACTACGCTTTGTGATTAGTTATTTTCGCGTTTGGAGAAAATACAAAGAAGCAAGTGGCGGGAGAGAATAAGGGATTAGTAGTGTGTATATATATATTTAAGACATGTTATGTAAAGTGTTGTTGTTTACTCGTATATCACATTAGTTCGGTACAATTTTTTTAGCTTGTCTTTTTCAAAAATTATGATGCATAATTAAAATGTTTTTTTTTTACAAGCACCTTGACCCAATGGCGTTGAGTGTTGACCAAAGGTTTAGTAATGCTTTTACACCAAGAAATTTAGAGTTCGAGTCCAAGATAGCGCGATTTATTAATATTTCTGTAGATTAATGGAGACAAATTACACGAGATCTCTAGTGATGCGCAATTAGAGCTGTTCGCCGTGATTCTAACTATTGAAGGAGAAGATGGTGTCCAAAGTTAGCGTAGAGAAGGAGACATTCAATATCAGCAAAAGAAGTGTTGTTAATAGTGATCGAATAGGGTCGGAAGGAATTGCATATGGTAAATTATTTTTGTAACAATTCTTATAATCTGTAATAATTAATAAATCTACATATGTTTTTTAAAAAAAAATTAAAATGATTTTGAATGCAAAAAAAGAATAAATGGTGTGCTATAAACTTTTATTTATATATATATATATTTTTTTAAAATATTATAGCAATACCTTTTATTTGATTGAAAACAAAATTTGAATATGTTTTTTAAAAAAATATATAAGTTTCGACTTAGTTGAACGACAATGTTTTACATTTTCATAAAAATAATAATAATAACTGATCAAAACTTGCATAGTATAAGATTGATAGCAATATATTCTAGCTTCCATGAAAATGTTCGTTAAAACTGCATTGACTTTTGTAAATTGAAGAGTTGGCATGCAGTAACTATGACGCATTTGTTGGTTGTGTAGTCTGGTGAGAAGCTATACCAAAACCTTAACCTTCACATTCACATTCACTGATTCTTATATATGTGAATGTAAAGGATTGGTAATAAGAAAAAGAAACAGTGATAGCCACTAATGGGTATGCTCATTTGGCATAATAATGCATGTACGTATATATATACATCACCTTTGAAGCTAATTTTGGGGATAGCCACTAATGAACTATGGCTATAATATACTTGTCAACATTCCTCTGAACAGTGTATAATCAAAACTTGTTTGCTGAGCAAAATTACATGAAAGTATGAAGAAAAAACTAGAAATACGTTCTACATTCTGCCTCTAATGTTCTTGCATACGTATTACGTGCTATAATGAAAAATGCATGAGTTACTCTGATCACTTGGTGTAGTTTGATTGAGACAGTTACTAACTCTATATGGTAAAATGTTGTTAGTAGATTTGATCAGTACTTTCCATTATCTCTCGTATCGCTAAAAGCACAATCAATGATGTTGGAAGAAGCTATACTTCCATTTCTGAAATAAGTCTTTCTAGCTTCCTATGTTAGGACTCTAAATTTTGAAACCTCGTAAAAGTAAAACTGGGAGTTTAAGACTAAACTTAAGCTTTTATTCACTTAATAAGCTAAGATTATAAATGAACATTAAAAAGTGCACTTCGTAGCTTAATCTTTGCCGGCGATAACACTATTACATAGTCATGAAAGAGATAACTAACAAAGTCCTAGTCCAAGCCTCCAAGGAGTCCTCTTTCCAATATATAGCTTCCTAAATTCAAAAGCAAATAACACCAAGTAGAACCTAAGTAATCAGAGAACATCATCCAATGTTAGAGTATGAGTTTTAGCAGCAGCCAACACCTTTGTCTTCTCTTTCTCCAGCATAGCTTCTTTGTCTAACCACTTTTGCTTCAAGTTCTTCAGTTCTTCCTTTTTTTTCTCCAGTAGAGCTTCAATGTCTAAGCACTTCTTCTTAAACACCTTGAGCTCTTCCTCTAGTTCTTGCATCCGAGTCTTACTAAACTGCGCTTCGATCTTTGTTTCCCTTACTTCCTCCAGTTTACGCTCCAACCAATCCACCTTAAATCCCGAATCTTTCAGGTACATCAATGCTTTCTTTGCTTGGCTTAAGTCATCAATACAAAAGTCTTGCAGTGACTGGCACAACGTCTCAATTACGTTGAGGAGGAGATTAATGCATGATGTCCTCATAGTTTGGTTCTTTACTCGAAACTCTAGTGCCATGTCCGGGTGTTTTTCGAATATACGTTTCAAATATTCCACCTTCAGTAGAAACACATATCCAAAAAAACACACATATCATTAGTTTGAAGCCTCAAAGCTATCAGTAGTGATCAAATCTGTTCCCATATATATAACCAAACATTACCTGTGAAGGAAGAACTTGAAACCCATTGACATTAATGCTTTCCTTTACTGAAGCACCATCATCTTCGTTTAGCTTTACCCTTTTTAAAGGTTGAGTTACCTCTTGAGATGCCTCTAAAACATCTAACTCGCCAATAACTTCAAGAACATCAACCTCAGCAACAATCTTGACTTCATCGTTCACAAGAAATCCAAGTTTCTTAGCATAAAGTTTACTAAGGAGAAGCATTTTATGATTCCCAGAGAGAGTAGCATTACGATCAAACCATTGTTCTGTTTCTATAGACAACAATAAAAATAAAAATTAGAACTGATCCTAACTCAAAACAAACATATATAGAACTCACAAAACATGAACTCACCTCGTTGTTGGGAGAGTTCATCAGAGAGTTGATTTACAACAGTTAGGCGAAATTTCACGTGCCTTCTCCATTCACAAGGCAAATTTTTACGAGTAGCAACCATCAGATACAGAGACAAATAACTACCATCCTTAAATCCCTTAGGATATGCCATAAGACGCCTGCAAACAAAAACAAAACAGTGATAGATGTTCTCATAAACCTATACTGGACAAGAAACACAACAACATAGTGAATGTTGTCTTCTTCTTACCATTTGCAGCCACTGATTACAAACTCATCAGAATGAATGGTCAAGCACGCAGATTCCAAAGATGAGAAGTTCTTAATCACCCAAGTGAATCTCTTATCAGCTGCTTCTTCGTTACCCATTTCTTTGCAAGTAGCAACGAAACTATCATCAAAAGCTTAGAGACGAGACACTCAAATGGAACCAAGCTTGCGTCGCTTTGTCTTCTTGACTCTTATGGATTATGAATATTGGACTTAACGGCCCAATTCACCATTTCGGCCACTAATGTTTTCATGCCTTTTGCAGAGGGGATTAGTATTTTACCTTGATAAATTGTAACTTCATAAAAATAAACTCTGTTTAAGACCAAAGTTAAAGATTTGATTGATTATAACTGAACATTTCATTTACATAGTCACGAATGAGACAATTAACAAAATCATAGTCGAAGCGAGTCATCCTTACAAAAAGATTAGCTCTTTACAGAACTTTACTATATACAGAACACAGAAGTCTTTGGCTTCCTATGTTAAATTTGAAACCAGATTCAAAAGAACATACTTACACCTTACAGAACAAAAGTCATCAGACAACATCATCCAAAGTTAGAGGAGGAGCTCTGGCAGCAGCCAACACCTTTGTCTTCTCTTTCTCCAGCAGAGCTTCCATGTCTGAGCACTTTTGCTTCGAGTCCTTCAGTTCTTCCTTCTCTTTCTCCAGTAGAGCTTCTATTTCTGAGCACTTCTGCTTAAAGATCTTCAGCTTCTCCTCTACTACTTGTATCTGAGTCTTGCTGAACTGCTCTTCAATCTTCTTGTTCTTGACTTCCTCCAGTTTACGCTCCAACCAATCCACCTTAAAGCCCGAATCTTTCAGGTATGTTAATACTTTCTCTTCTTGGCTTAAGTCATCAGTGGAAAGGTCTTGCAGTGACTGGCATAATGTATTGATTATGTTGAGGAGGAGATTTATGCATGATGTCCTCATATTTTGGTCCTTTACTCGGAACTCTAATGCCATGTCCGGGTGTTTTTCGAATATACGTTTCACAGATTCCGCCTGCAGTTGTAAAAAAGGATGAATAACGTATACAGTCATATGTATAGTTGCATACATATCCATTAAACTGAATGGTAGACTCCAAAGTCACCACTTTCCCCCCCCCTACATTTTCTCAATTTCTCTGTACTAAGGTGTGCTCTAATGATAAATTCAAAACAGCAACAACAAAGAAGGATATGATAAATCTCATGAGTTTGAATCAGATTAGTTATGAATAATTTATCAAAACCAGACCTTATCAAACAAAACGATTCTAAAAAGTTTGAATCTTTATGAACTTGTTACCTGTGAAGGAAGAACTAGAAACCCATTGACATCTACTAATGAAGTCTCCTTGTCCAAATGACTAGAAACCGCACCATCATCACCATTTAACCTCATCCTTTTCAGAGGTTCGACCTCATGAGATTCCTCTGAAACATCTAATTCCCCAATAACTTCAAGAACATCTACCTCTGCAATAATCTTGACTTCATCATTCACAACAAAACCACCTTCTTCAGCATTAAGTTTGGTAAGGGGAAGCATTTTTGAATACCCACAGAGAGGATTGTATTCATCGAACCAATCTTCTTTTTCTATAGACACCACGAAAAGTTAAAAGTGATCTAACTCAAAACAAACACCAAAACCCAATTAAAAAAATACGAACTTTACTTTGTTCAAAGCCTTATATAACTCACTTTCTTGTGAAGAGAGATGATTTACAACAGTTATGCTAAATCTTGTGTGTCTTCTCCATCCACAAGGCAAAGTTTTATAACTAGCTACCATCAGATACAGAGACAAATGACTAGGAAATTGATTTCCCGTAGGAAAAGCCACAAGACACCTGCAAGCAAAAATACCATAGATGACAATGGAGAATGTTCTAATAAACCTATATTGGACAAGAAACACAACAACATCAGAGATTAACAAAGTTGTTTTCTTCTTACCATTTGCAGCCACCGATCACGAACTTATCAGACACTATTGTCTTAGATTCAGAATCAGATGAGAAATTCTTAATCACCCAAGTGAATTTCTCATTCCCCATTGAAGACAGACCAACGAAACCCTTGAGTGAGAGTTGCAACTGGCATTGTTGTGTTGTGTCTGTCGTTTGGTGTTCTTCACTTATGGGTTTACGGCCCAACTTTCCATTTTGGCCCAATTTAACATAAGTAATATAGCCCAATTTCCTCCTTGGTGCAATCTGATTCACTGTTGTGGAATGTGGTAGGAAGCTAGTCTTCTTATAATGACCATGTTATGAGCTATAAGACAGACAGTACTAGAGAAGATTTTCAAGTAAATGAACAAGCAACTTAAAACATAGCTCTACAAAAACAACTTTGAAAGCTTTTTTTTTGCTGATAGGAATTGTTGTTTTCCTTATTATGAATTGTAACTTTATAAAACTAAACTCGGTTTAGAAACGAGAAATGGAATCATGTAAGCTCTTCATTAGTGGGATTAGTGTTTACATTAATGATGTTCTAACTTCATTAATGGCTCTACATGTCAAGCTTAAAAACAGCTTTAAACTCGGTTTAAGACCTAAGTTAAGAATTGATTTGCTTAATAAGCTACGAAAATAACTGAACATACCGTTTACATAGTCATGAATGAGACCACTAACAAAATCCTAGTTCAAGCAAGTTATCTTTCACAAAAAGATTAGCTCTTTACAAAATATAAGAGTTTCCAGTAGACAGAACACAAAAGTCTCTAGCTTCCTATATTAATTTTGAACCTAGACTCAAATGAATATACTAACACCTAGTAGAACCAAAGTCATCAGATAACATCATTCAATGTAAGGGAAGGAGCCCTGGCAGCATCCAACACCTTTTTCTTCTCTTTCTCCAGCAGAGCTTCTGTGTCTGAGCACTTTTGCTTCAAGTCCTTCAGTTCTTCTTCTGTCTCTGAGCACTTCTTCTTAAAGACCTTCACTTCTTCCTCTAAGTGTTGCACCCGAGTCTTCCTAAACTGTTCTTCGATCTTCTTTTCCTTCACTTCCTCCAGTTTACGCTCCAGCCAATCCTCCTTAAAGCCGGAACATATCAAGTACGTTAGTGCTTGCTCTGCTTGGCTCAGGTCATCAATGGAAAGGTCTTGCAGTGATTGGCACAAAGTCTTGATTAGGCTGAGGAGAACATTTATGCATGAAGTCCTAAGATCTTGGTTCTTTGCTCGGAACTCTATCGCCATGTCTGGGTGTTTTTCGAATATAAGTTTCACAGATTCCACCTGCAGTTGTAAAAAAGAATGACTAAAGTATACACTCATCTGTAAAGTTGTATACATATACCTAGCCTGATTGGTAGACTTTTAAAGATACCATTTTTTCCCTACATTTTCCTCTGTATCAAGATACGTTCTACCGATAAATTCATAAACAACAACAACAAAGAAGTAAATGATAAGTCAAAGCTTCTAAGAAGTTTATGAACTTGATACCTGTGAAGGAAGAACTTGAAACCCATTGACATCTACTGATGAAGTCTCCTTGTGCAAATGACTAGACACGGCACCATCATCACCATTTAGCCTCATCTTTTTCAGAGGTTGTTTTACCTCTTGAGATCCCTTTGAAACATCTAATTTCCTGATAACTTCAACAACATCTACCTTAACAATAACTTTAACAACATCTAGCTCCGCAATAATCTTGACTTCATTGTTCACAAGAAATCCACCTTTTTCAGCATTAAGTTTCTCAAGGAGGAGCAATTTTTGAAACCCATCAAAAGAACGCATTTGATCAAGCCATCGTTCTGTTTCTGTAGACACGAAAAACAAATAAGAACTGATCTAACTCAAAAACAAAACACATAATTCACAAAATCCAAACCTTATAGACTCACCTACTCGTTGGGAGAGTTTATCAGAGAGTTCATTTACTACAGTTAGACGAAATCTTGTGTATCTTCTCCATCCATGAGGCAAAGTGTCACGAGTAGCAACAACTAGATACATAGACATATAACTATCATTTCGAAATCCTTTCGGATAGACCTTAAGATACCTGTAAGTAATACAAAACCACCATAGAAAACAATGGATGTACTGGACGGACAAAAAACATTAGATGTAGAGAAAGTTGTCTTCTTCTTACCATTTGCAGCCACCGACCACAAATTCATCAGAACAAATGTACCCAGGTTGCAAAGATGAGAAATTTTTAATCACCCAAGTGAACTTCTTATACCCCATTGAAGACGAATCCTCACAAGTACCACAACCAAAACAATCAAAGCTTGAAGACGACCAACGAAACCCTATAACCAGAGTGGCACTGGCACTGTTGTGTCGAACCTACTCGTGTCCCTGGTCTTCTTTAATTATGGGTCATGGGCTTCGGCCCAATAAGTTTTGTGGTTGGTTTTGGAAATAGTTAAACAAGAAGGGGTAAAATCGTAATTTACTCACCTAAACCTTATTCTAGAAACATCTAGACCTTTATTCAAAGAAGAAGAAGAAGAGTTTCGTGTTTTTTTCACAAAGCTATTCGGAGATGGCGGAGCACTTAGCATCTATATTCGGAACAGAGAAGGATCGAGTGAATTGTCCTTTCTACTTCAAAATCGGCGCTTGCCGTCACGGTGATCGATGCTCGCGTCTCCACACCAAGCCAAGCATCAGCCCTACGCTTCTCCTTTCGAACATGTATCAGCGTCCCGATATGATCACACCTGGTGTTGATGTTCATGGTAACCCTATCGATCCCCGTAAGATTCAGGAACACTTCGAGGTTGGTAACTCTTTTTCTTCGTCAGTAGATTGAATTTGGGAATAATTTGATGTAATTTAAGGTTATTGGATTTTGAATTTTTGAGATTTTGTGCGAATTGAGTGATTTTTCTAGAGATTTTTTTGGATATTTTCATGAAAATTTTAAAGTATGCTTTCATTTTTGTTAGCTATCTTTTTTTTTTCCTCCAGGAGATTGAATTTAAGGTTAACTTGATTTTGAATTTTTGGGATTTTGTGCGAATTGAGTGTTATTTTAGGGATTTTTTAATATGTTCTTGAAGATTGTGAAGTATGCTTCGATTTTGGTTAGCTATCTTGTTGTATCCTTGTGGATGAATGATTTGGTGTTGATTAAGTAATTGGAGATGATTGTATGTGATTGTGAATTTTGCAGGACTTTTATGAAGATCTGTTTGAGGAGCTGAACAAATATGGTGAGATTGAGAGTTTGAACATCTGTGACAATCTCTCTGACCATATGGTAAGTTTTTTTTTGAGATACTAGCAAAGCATTCTCTCATTTTTTATATTTCATGGAAGTTAATGATAATAATAGTTTGAATCTTGTGGTGTAGGTTGGTAATGTGTATGTGCAGTTTCGAGAAGAAGAGCAAGCAGGATATGCGCTTCGCAATCTTCAAGGAAGATTCTATGCAGGTTGTTTATCACTTCGATGTTGTGTTTAAAGAAGTTTTCTTGATTTTCAGGCTTTTGCGTTGGTCTAACTTGTTGGATCATTTGGAAACACAGGTCGTCCAATCATTGTTGACTTCTCTCCTGTCACTGACTTCCGTGAAGCTACTTGTCGACAGTATGAGGAAGATACTTGCAAACGTGGTGGATACTGCAACTTTATGCACCTTAAAAGCATTAGCAGGTCATATGTTTGCTCATTTTTCATTTATTGCATAGTTATTTTGCTATTGTACTTGGACTCACTTGTTCATCAATTTGATTTGGCAGGGGATTGAGGAGGCAGTTATATGGAAGATACAAGAACAGGCATAGTCATAGCAGAAGTAGGAGCCCTTACAGGCATCGTAGTCATGAAGATCGCTCTCATGAAAGGCGTAGCCGCAGTAGAAGGCACGAGGATGATGATGATGATAGTGAGAGCCGTACCAGGAGTAGAAGACACAGGAGCAATAGTCCTCACCACAGAAGAGGAAGGAGGAGTACGAGCAGAAGTAGAAGTCCTGGTGGAAGGAGACAGAGAAGTCCTGTTAGGGAAGGGAGTGAGGAAAGACGTGCCAAGATTGAGCAATGGAACAGGGAGAAAGAAGAGCAGGAAAATGCAATAAACAGGGGAAATGAAAATTGCAGTGATGGGCACATGAAGAAGGAAGACTATCATCAGGAGGGTCCTTGCAACAAGAAGGCTGTGGATACCACTAAGTATATCTGGTCAGTGCAAATTTTCCTTCCGATACATCTCGTCAATGTTATATAGGTAGATTTCAGTTAGGTATTAGTGTGTTACATCATTCAATACACATAGCTCACAGCCCATTTTCCGCTGTGCAGGTTTGTGCAGGGTCAGATACTCTGTGATTAAAATTAATTAGTTTGCTTAGTTACATTGATTGGTTGCTGACAATTTCTCTTGGGAAACTCATGTATGTGGTATTATTAGTAGTCCTTGCATGTGCTTGCTTGCTTGATTGCCCTGCTATAGTGTGAACCACCCTTACCTTGTGTGGTGCATTTGTGAAACCGTTCTAAAAAGCTTCAAGGTTTTAATATGCTCGGTTCTGTAATTAGGTACTAACAAAGAATGCATTTCTCTGTGGTTTCTTGGGTTGGTTCATACTTCACTTGTAGTCATTGTGTTTATTGCTCAGTTTGTTTATGAATTGGATGTAGTACTGTAGAACTTTGTTTGTTGCTCATAGTCATAGTGTCATTGAGTTGATCATTGTGTGTGTTTGTTCTGTTCCGGTGTGAGTTATATGTAGTGCATGTAGAACTTTGTTTGTTACAGTCAGGGCAATATGACGAGTGCAAGTTGGGAATAGAGCGAATGCAACCATAAGTCTCTGTATTGGTTCTGGTCATCTAATCTCCCAACTCTTACTTTTCCCCCATCTCTCTCTCTCTGGCTTTGGTTTTTTTGTATGCTTACGGTTTTGTGAAGATTTTTGCAGGTTCAGGTTTGGCCTTATAGGAATGATAGGTGCGTAAAAAAAGGTTTGTTAACAATCTGCGGAATTTGTTTTACAGGTTTTAATGGTGGCTTGAAGATTTGTGTTTAAAAAGATATGCAGATGCTAGGTCTTGTGGATTCAAACTTTGTTTCAGACAGGTCTGATGGTGGCTTGAAGATTTGTTTTTTGTCTTTTGTGTTTTCAATTTTCAGACTTGTTCTTGGCTTTGTATGGATAATATTTGTACGTTGGAAAGTTTAGTATGATTTATAAATGCATAAACTATGTCCAAAATCCAACATGATAAATATATAATAATACTAAGCCCAAGATATAAGTAATAAAAATAAAATAACTCATTAAGAGAAATAAATATTATCCCACAATTGAAACTAACTAAAACTGTTTTGACTTTGAATTTACAAATTTTTAATGGTATTTATATTTGATAGCCTCAGTTGACCAATTAATTAAATATCTAACAACCATAACTCAATATTTAGTTTTCTTTTTTCCAGACGTTTTTACCCCTATCTATCACTTAGATAAACAAATAAACATCGATTCTCGTTCTCTTCTTATATCTTTCTCTCTACTCTTTATCTCTCACCTAAACATATAACTTTTTCGTTATCCGATAATATCCACACGTATTAACAAAAATATTATACTAATTAATGTGTTATCCCTTATCTAAATGTATCATATTTAAGGATTCAGTTGTGTTGCATTTTTGTTGAGTTTTATACTTTATTATCGTTTTATAAGAATTTCATTATTTGATAACAATCTAATTATCCGATAACATAATTGATAACGATCTAATTATCAGATAACATATTAGATAACAATCTATATATGCAACTTAGTTATCCGATAATAATCTATATAGCGCATCATCATTGGTACCTCTGCACAATTGGATCTTGTCAGAGATTTGTATAAAAAATAATCATTACATCCTGAACTTGCAACTAAATTAGTATAGGGATAGCCACGTATTTTCTCCTCTCTCCCATTAAAAAAACTAATTTTCAATTTATTAACTCCTTCCTTTTTGTTTTCCATTTATTTGAGCACATACTTTTAACTAACCCATTTTTAATCTGATGCCTATAAACATAAGATTACTTTTCATTTTCTTGACTTTAGAATTTGGATATTATTATGTTGACATATAAATTTTGCAATGCAAAAACTTTTGTTAAAAATACGAAATGATATAAATAATAAAAGTCAACACTAATACTGCATCCATTAACATTTTGGGAAAATATATACTAATTTATAAACTCAAGATGTTAGATAATTAATTCGTTAACACAAACAAAATAACCAGCCAAAATAACTCACTAACATAAATAAATCACATGCCAAAAGTCTAACTAAAATAAAAAAATATTCGTCTTTTTGAATTTACAAATTTTTAATCTAATACCTAAAAACATAGGATTACTTTTCATTTTCTTGACTTTAAAATTTGGATATTATTATGTTGACATATATAAATTTTGCAATGCAAAAACTTTTGTTCAAACTACAAATTGGTATAAATGATAAAAGTCAACACTAATACTGCATCCTATAACATTTTGGGAGAAATATAGTAATTTATAAATTCAAGATGTTAAATAATTAATTCGTTAACAAAAACAAAATAACCCGCCAAAAATCTAACTAAAACAAAAACTATTTGACTTCGAATTTACAAAACTTTAATCTGATACCTAAAAACATAAGATTGCATTTCATTTTATCTTGACTTTAGAATTTGTATATTATTATGTTGACAAATTTCTTTGGTAATGTTTGCATATAAATACATAATATGAGGACATTTAGATTCAACTCATAATAAATAAAAGAAAAAAAATCAATACAAAAGCTCGTGGACTCCATCGACTCATTGTTGAAGCCAAGGTATTAATTTAAATAAACAAGTAGATACTATAGAAGAATGATCTATTAGATTCATATGATGAGATTAAAGAATATATAATGGAGATATGAACATATCTTATAGGATTATATTGGTAACCATAGAAACATTTTTTTTTTTTTTTTTTGATGTTGCATGATTTTGCAGAATAAGGTGTTGTGGAGATGTTTCTTTTTGGTAAAGAGATACAAAACAAATGCAAAAGAATGTATCGTATCAGACTATCAGTATAAGGGAAGATCGAATAAGTTCATTACCAGATCCTATTCTTGGTCAGATACTCTTGAATCTGTCTACAAAAGATGTTGTTAAGACAAGTCTTTTGTCTACTAGATGGAGATCAGTTTGGCGTTCGGTTCCCGGGTTAGATCTTGCTGACTATGAACTCTCGGATTATAGTTCCTTTGTGAATTTTGTCAATAGCTTCGTTGAGTTCTCTGTTGTGTCACCTATTGTAAAGCTAAAGCTTACTTCTAAGAGAGAGAGGAGTGATCCCTTGGCTATCAACTCATGGGTGGATGAAGCTGTTACACGTAAACTTCAACATCTTGAGATTAGGAGATGTAATGGTTTTGAGCTTCTGCCAATTAGTCTATTTGTCTGCAAGACTTTGGTATACTTGAAGCTTTGTTACGTGGCATTTTTTTGAGTTGAACCATGTTTCTTTACCGCGTCTCAAGACAATGCATCTAGAAGGAGTTCGGTTCACAAATCATGCGGCGATAGAGACACTTATCGCGTCTTGTCCAGTTCTAGAGGATTTGAGCATAGTTCAAAATGATTTGAAGGCTATACGTGTGTTCTCTGACACAATAAGTAGTATCAATCTGGTTCGCGATGTTAGTTTTACCAACCATCAGGACGTTGAGAAGTGTGAAGTTGAGATTTATTCGCCTAGACTCAAGTATTTGAGTCTTAAAGATAACAAATCCTCAAGCTTCACCATATACAACTTGTGTCCATCTGCCAAGGTAGATATCGCTGTTGACTTCAATGTGAAAGGTGTTTTGGATCCAAATGACTCGGGAAAGAGAAGTTTTATTCGTAATTTCCTCAACATGATCTCAAGTGTCCATGACATGATCATATGTTGGAAAACTCTTAAGGTACTTAGGTACATATACTCTAATCATGTTCAATGAATCAATTAATTATATTCCTTAATGCACTTCTTTTGTTTTCCTTCTAGGTTATTTATCAATACTCGAAACTAGAAACCCTACCTTACTTTCCTAACATCTCTCATTTGCATGCTAAAATCTTGGCTGCGGATTAGGAAATGTTGCCAATCCTTCTGTGGAGCTGCCCGAATCTTAAATCCCTCATCTTAGTACGCGTTTTCTTGGTTACTTAGTTTTGTTTACATCAAAGATTATCCTACCCATCTTATACTTTTGTTTCTTTTTGTGGTATTTTTAGGAGCTTAATGGTTGCACTAAGAAGAAAAAGCAAATAAGTATCTCATATGTGCCTTGGTGTTTGTTTTCAAGCCTAGAGAGTGTCGAGATGAAAACGCCAATTCGTGGAACTCGAGTAGAAATGGAACTGATAAAGTATTTCCTCGAGAATTCAAGATTTCTCAAGAAACTTTTTCTGCGAGTGGCCGGTGGTACGATGAAAGAAGAGTATATCATCTTCATGGAAATTCTAAGGTTCCGAAGATGCTCTAGTGCGTGTCGAGTCAATGTTGTTGGACTCGAAGAGACGATGCTGAAACTATGATTGAAGAGATTGTGTTTCAAGTTTTCTCTCATAAAGTATATTATTATGCGTCTATGTTGCTTTTGATTTTTTTGTTGTTGTTTCGTTTCTGAGTAAAAAGAAAAGATGGATTGCTAATGGCTTGATTATCACGGACCAAAGTGAAGATCAACTTGTAGATGAATCTATGCTTCAAGGATTGGTTTTTATGGTTGTGAAACATAATTAACAACGTACGGTTTCATGCAAGGCATGATAACTCTTCCTCTCGACCATCAGCTGCTCTTATTGCGGACATCAAGAATCCAATTAGGTGTAGGCTTTGATACTCTCTCAAGGGAGCAAACCAATCTCGCCCTCTCAAGACTTGTGCCTTCATACTTAGTTTGATTTGTTTCATTCCTAAAGCCACTTGTTGTCCAAGTGTTGCTGTATCGTTTTGTGTTTCTTTCTTCTGTAGGTCTCTTGTACCAGTAATATGTTTCAATCTATAAATTGGTATCCCTTTTGAAAAAACCAAAATGTCTATGAACCAGTGAATGTACACAGACAAACCATTCATAAGATTAGATGAGATGAGAAACAAAGTACATCCAGAGCATAAATAAGTTGTGGCCACATTAACGGATAAAAAAACTAAAGCCGTTCGGAAACATTAATCGACGAAAATCAGAAAATTAGGCGGCTTAAAGACTCTTCTTTCCTAGTACTAAATTAAGCGGTTCAGGCAGAGCTTGGTTGATCGACCCTGCAGCTACTAATTTCGAGAATGATATGTCCCGATATCCCATCCATGGTTCTCCTTACAACCGATTTGTAGTCGCAACTCTTGGCGCTGAAGTTAATGTGGAATATGGCATTACTCGACTTAAGCTTCAGACGCGGCTCTCTATGAGTTTCACAAGTTTCCACAACTATCTTCTTGATCTCCACAGGCAAACAAGAGTCAAATCCATCCTGCAAAAACAAGCTTACTAAAGTTCAACAAAACTGCCAAAGATATAATAAGACTACACGCAAACATGCTATAAGTTTTCCACTCTCAAGTACCACATTATATCTCCAGAAGGAGAAAAGTGCAAATTCAGTATATAGACGTAGCCAATCATATTCACATATGTCCTGCTCCTGAACCTGTCAAAGACAACACATCTTCAAATAATTTCATACAAGAACGTTACTTTCAAACACATAACACAGTTTACTTACCTCGTAGAATCTTAGCTTATCATCACCAGTTCCTGCTTTCGACAAGAAATCGGGCATAGACCCTTTGTAAAACTTATCGATTGCACGATCATCAAGCAGAGAGACACACCCTTCCCCTACAATGTGAAGAACACACATTCAAACTTTTCAGGTACAACTTTAAAATGCTTTTATATCTCAAAGTATAACATACTCTGTCATTAGAGGATTAAAATCACTATACTAATAGAGTTACCAGGTGTCTCGGGTTTGATTCTGCAAAATTCAGTATAGACTCTTAATTGGTCTCTGTACCTAGAGACTGTGACCAAGGTCTGAAAAGTGTGTGGTGAATTATCTGCAAGATCCTTCACCTCCACTGTTATATAGTAAGACATAGCAAGAGAATACTGGATGTTGTATTTGGGTATGCCCATATACTGCAACTTCCTCCCCTACAAAGATTGAAACCAAAAAAAAAAAGAATCAGAAACAAGATTCCACAGTTATCAATGAATACTCAAAGCCACAAGTCAGGTAAAAGGGCAACACTAAACCTGTTCAATGTTGAAGCAATGAACTCCCAAACGGCCACAAAGAGCGATTTCGCTACAGGGTTTACGATCGCCTAGAAAGACTGGTGAGATTCCATATGATGGGATACAAACATTGCCATCAATATCGAAACCCTACAGCCAATTCCAATATATTACAGTTCTGGTGTAAGATATAATGTTCAGCTTTCCTAGAAAATCCCAAACCACAGAACCTAAAATACCAAATCCAAATGCAGAGACATGAAAGCTGAACTCTACAGCCAATTTTGTATCGAAATTTTGCTAAAAACAAAACCTTTCCTTGGTAAAGAGTAAACATAGAACCCAAATCCCAAATTCCAAATCCTAAATCAAAAGCAGAGAGAGAGAGAGAGTGTACCAGAGACTCGTTAACTTGGCGATAGTATTCTTCGTCAAGTTCTTCCTCTTCCTCAGAAGTCCATCCTTCGACTTTTTCTTCTTCTTCTTCTTTTCTGTTTTCGGATAAAATAAATTGTACGAAGTCATTTATGTCTTCTTCTTCTTCTTCTTCTTCTTCTTCTTTTACTTTTTCTTCTTCTTCTTCTTCTTCGTTTTTGGATAAATACAATTCATCGGCTTTTTCTTCTTCCTCTTCGTTTTTGGGTAAATACAATTCGTCGACAAGATTACCCAATCCAAGCAAAATCGAGTGGCACTTCTCGTCAGATAACTTTCCACTATCCAACAGCCGCCGTAGAACATCCGCCATTGCCGAGATCCAAAGCTTCAATCATAGGGATTCTGAACTTTTTTTTTGGATTTTTTTTTTTTTCGTTTGGTAAGATCTCTCTAAGACACGTGTATTAATTGATAAATTATTATTTTTTGGAAAGTTTTGTAATTTTAATCCAACTAGGTAATGTACCCGCGCAGTTGTATATTTATTTAATTATTTTAATTTATTTATTACTTGTAAAAAATAGATTAAATAAATTTTAATGTTTATATATGGTGAATGAGGATATTGAGAATATCATATATGGTGAAAGAGGATATAAAAATGAGTATTTATAGGATAAAATATGATGTAAGTTATAATTCTGAAATAACTAAATTAGAGTAGTTATAATTATATTTTATAGTGTGTTAATTGAAATTGAATGGAAGAAACAAATAGTCAATTGAAAGGTTATATAATTTAAGTTACAATTTAATAGTAAAGTGTGGATTTCAAGTATGAATTAAAGTATACGACTAAATGTGTTAGATATTTGGTTTAATTAAAAATAAATATTATAATTAAAAATAAATGCTAAATGGACCAATAAGGAGAAACCTTAAAAAATTCCCAAAGAATAATTTTATTTTTTTAATTTGTTTTTATATTCCTCTTAATTTAAGCTATATCTCTAGGTTTAATTATATCTTTCATCGTTGTAGTATATATAATAGATAGAAAATTGAATATCAAATTGTTTTTTACATAGGAAATAAAGTATAAAATTCAAAGTTTACAAAAATTATAATGTTGTTTATATTATTACATGTTGAATCACAAACTAAATATAAGGATCATTATTCTTAAAAGAATGTCTTACAAATTGGTTTGATAATTATATAACAAAAAGTTTATTTTGTTAAAAAATTACATATTTTTGAAATTAAAATAAATATACATGAATATATGAGAAAGAAACAAACATCCAATGTAAAATAATGAAGATGGTTTCTTTAGCTT